ATGTTGAGTTGTTTCAAGTTCAATACTGGACGTATTGGAGTTGTTACTTTGTGTAATTGAATTTGTGGCATTATTGTATAAGTTGCTCGAGGAAAATCTGGTTTACATGGTTTAATATATTTCTGTTTTATCCATAATTCTATCTCATCTTTGAATATGCGAGTCTGTTGTTTATCTAATCCTTGTAGTTGTTGTCTATAGAAGGGTACACGAATGACTTTTTCAGATGGTTCACCATCAACCCATTTCCATCGAATACTCCATTCTCCTTCATGTCTTGTAGCTGTGAAGTCACTCTCTTCTATAACTGCATCTTTTTCTCCTACTATCACACAAGCATCACTCCCTTGTACTTCATTACAATTCCGTACATACTTCAAGGATCCAACTGTATCACAATAATCCATTCCTAACAGTATATCAATAGGCTTGTGATTCATTTGTATAATCCCATCTCTACTATTCACCACAAGACTATTCAACTCAACATCTTTGTTTACAACCAATGAACAACTACCATATATAGGAACTGCACCAGCTATTGATGTCACTCTATCATTATTTCGTACTTCATTAACGTCATTACCAATCGCTTCAGCGACCTTCAACGACGACAATGTTCTCGAGCAACCAGTATCAAGAACTGCTATCACTGTGATGTCACCTACGATAACATATTTCGAAGGATGTCCCACATCACATTCATCCTTCCACTCACTACCTACCTTCATCCGTTTATTTGGTGAGTCATCACTGTCCTCATCACGACTTCTTTTACCTTTACCTTTTCCTTTTCCTTTTCCTTTCCCTTTCCCTTTTCCTCCTTTACTATACCAATGTCCTTTACCCCATGGTCGCCATTCATACCAACCATTTCCTTTGCCAAAACCTTTACCCTTTCCTTTACCGAAAGGAATCAGAAAGAAAAGCAAGGAGAGCAGCACTACTAGCAGACTCCACACGAGAGAGTACGGAGAGGAGCTACCGCTCGGTGGTGAGCCATTTTGAGAAACTTAACGGTAGGATTGCAGGCAATAACGTGCCTACGGTGGATAAAATCCTAGGTATGGTCGGGATCCTCGTTGACCGAGCCAATATCTCTCCAGAAACATTGCGGGAGTATGTTAGCGCGATAAAGACGACTATGGAGGTGCGTTCATGAGTAAGTTTCACCCTAGAAGAGATGAGCATCGTTGAGAGAGGAGTTAAAGGATGCCAAAATCGTTTGGCGCATAGATCCAAGCCTCCGGGAAAGGCAGGAGTTCTACCGGACGAGGCAGTTAAAGTCCTAACAGGTATAAATCCTGCAGCTGACATAGCTATAGCATAGTGGGGCCACAATTCTGGTAGATTCGGGATGCGAGGATAGCACAGTGAAGTGTGCAGGCGGTTCGAGTCAATCGAGTAGAGCCTGGCAGCCTGCCAGTGGCAGGGCTACGCCAAAGGAGCCTTGATGCGCTGCACGAGGGACACAAGTTGTGTCACACAACAGAAGAAAAAAAATAGTCAATAAGTCATGAGGACTACAGCGAGACTCTCGCTGCGAGAGGAGGGGACAAAAGAAAAAAACATGAATCGATTGTGTCATCGAAGTTTCTGGTAAAGCTAAGAGTTTGGTGGATAGTGGAGAGATTTGGGTGACGGGACAGACCCGTGTGAGACGTGAGTCGTTGATACGACACCATGTAGTCGGGCACCTGTCCCGTGACCGAAGCTTCAGGGGGGAGCCCTGCAAGTCTTCGGTCCTCTCCACACCACCTAGTCGACCAACTCTATCAAAGTTCCCCTGGTTAAGTGTAAATAGTTAGAGGATCACTGGAGCCAGAGTTGAAGAAGAGTGAAATAATAGTGACAGGCCCCGGAATAAAAAGTGACGCAATCTGTTTGCCCCCGAGGTGTTATTGTGGGAGGTGAGTTGTCGCCGACTAAGGGGAGCCTGTCGCGCGTGGAGGTACCGCTACAACGATCTGGGCAGTCGCTTCCAACGGTGACCCAACCTTGACTTCTTTTTACCCTATATTTGGCCTACTTGTGAACGGCGCGTGGGAGGTCTAGGCCGCACAAGCGTGTGCGGGATCTTGTTCATTCGTAGCGTTTTACGTGAAGTACGTGAGTTGATCGATTTTGGTAGAGCAGAAGGACTCCGTAATGAGAGAGACTTCTGGGACAGTTTGGTCATAAGCGAGACCGTGGGATTCCCTACGGTACCATCAGGATGTGATTGGACTTCCAGTTGTAAACATCTTCTGAGGACTGACTCATCATCTAGCGCCAATGTCAGTGTTGGTTTTTCACCACTGGCGATTGGCTTGATCAAGAAGATAATACAACATGACTAAGGACGGGCCGAATTTCATGAATAGAGAGTATTTTGTAATCCCGAGAGAACTTTTTCTCTGTTAGTCTTATCTTCCCTTTTGCGTTGGTGGAGCGACTCCCATCAACCTCATATCCCGTCCCTTTCAATAAAGCAAATCGTCATGGTCCTGATCCTACCCTATATTGGTATCTTCGCTTTGCTGGGTACCCAGTCTGATGCTAAGTATCCTCCACCCAACGGCAGGTACTTCAAGCAACTGCCTGACTCTGCAACTGCGGCAGCAACTTTTAAAGATGATCCGTCCTTGCCATACGAGGTCACCCTGCGAATCACATGCACACAGGCTCCGCTCGGAGTCAAGTCACTGCCCCTACACCTTGACTCTGGTAACGATGAATATACCATATCTCAATCCAGTATGCCGCGCTACAATGCATTCTTGGAAGGAGCAGCAGAGAAGTGTCCGAACTTGCTGATTAATCATGACCTCGAGCGCTTTCTCTACCATGGTAAAGAGAATACGGTTGAAGCAAAAGTAAAGGGCAAATTTGTGACTCTGGCGAAGTCTCCAGCGTGAAGGTATGAGATCCCTTCCGCATGGACATCACTCATTCAAAATATGTCATTTTTTCATACCATCAGTGGTCGCCGACCACTGGTCGGTGTGTAATCCGATTATTGATAATGGTCTACTATAATATTTGTGGAGTATGATAAGGTGGATGAAGTACGATTCTTAAATATTTTTTCCGAGAAAAAACCAGAGCAATATGTTTATGATCGGTCATTTGTCTTTGTCCTCACCGCCATATCAGAGAGAGTTCCGCAGTGGTTCGCTTTTGACAGGAGGTGGAAGTTGAGGTCTCTCATTGTCAGTTGAAGCTGCACAGCACCTGGTCTTGAGTTGTATAAAATGGGGAGTTAGCTACGGTGATGATGTAACACTGATGAGTATGCAAGCCGCTCCAGAATCGCAACTCAACGATGAATAGTAATGGTTGGAGAGCCAACTCATACCGATTAGCAGCCAATGATTGTTGTGACACGACAATGACTGAGCTGATCGTAGGAACGCTAAAATCCGTTAAAATCTTATTATTAACTTCGGAGCCAGGAGGTCCCCTTTAGAGCACCTGATCCCAAGGCCATCTATGTATCACACTACATCCATTCGATTGTGCATTCCCTCACTCAGGAGTTCGCCTTTGATGATGATGATGATGATGATGTGGTATACCTTTTTTAACATTTGGACTCTCTAATCTATTATCCCACAAACCGTTTGATAGTTGCCACTCGTGTACCTCACCTTCAGCGCAGCTTTCCATCATACCGTTTAATGAACGTCACAATTGGCATGTTAGAGGAGTACCACGCTGAAGTTGATAGCAATGATTTACCAGCAGTGAATTCAAAATTGTCCCTTCGACGTCAGCGTCCGATTGCTTCATGGCGACCAACCGATGGTCATGCATTGGAATGAACAGACTCTCGAACGATCATTATCTACCAATTGGAGACCCAAGTTCTTAACGTCCTTACTCCTTATCCTGACCTACAGTAAGGG